TGCACAAGATTTGCAGCTGCTGAGCAGCTTTGCATGAACATATCAGTTGCTATGACAAATGCCATAGCTCCAATATTTAAGCCAAAACCCTGCTTTTTGACTGTTGCACCCCAAATGTTGTTTGGTCTCTGCTGTCTTTTTGGGTGTGCTTTTTCAGTTGTCTTGTACATTTATAATTGCTATAGGGGTATTGATGGCTTCATGTGATTGTGGCCAGTTTTGTCATCCATTTGGAAAAAGGATATATCAACTGGAGCAATAAAGGTGTAGTTCTTAGCTGGAATGGGTTGATATACAGCAGGATTTCTTACAGGATCTCAGAGCATCACAGCAGTTACAGTTGGCATCCTTCTGTATTGGGACTTCTGCATCTCTGTTTTGGTCACTGTTTTTTTATTGCTTTTGGGCCTTCCAAGATCAGAAGCTTGGTGTGACTCTACGAATGTGGTCATGATTCCTGTTACAAATGTAAGTTTCGACCTTGAGTAAATTTCCACCAAATGAGACTTGGATCAGAGGTGGTTTCTGAGCCACAAACTCTCCCACAGCTGCTCTCACTGTGGTTCCACTCAGGTACCTGCTACTGCCCGAGGCTGTCCCCGAGGCCAGGAGCCAGCAGAAAAGGACAAATCCTGCAGTAAAATACCACTTGCTATGAGGAACTGAGCTTTTAGTTGACCTACTTGACATACCCTAAAGGCATTTAAAGGGAATATCAAATATATGAAAGGCTTGTTTAAATGAAAAGTGAGCAGTTCTGAATCTCGCATTTCCCCACTGTGGCCTTGTGTCTTGTGGAGTCACTGTACTTTGTGTAGCAGGACTTTGTACTTTGCTGTGCTATCTAGCAAGACTCAGACTATAAGCCATATCTATATTTAAATTAGATTTATTGACTTTTAAATAATATTTATTGTTCACTTCATGGAACACTGACATGTTTCACTGACATGAAAAGTTATTTTAACTCATTTCAGTGGGGTGAGAAAATCAAGTAGAATAAAAACCCCTCTGTATAAAAGCTGCAATGTGGTCTTCAAAGAGTGTACTTATCATAGCATAGAGAGATCCATGTCAAAGATTTGCAGTGATTGTTCTTTGTTCTAGTGGAACCACTAGTTCTCTGATACATTGCATAAATCTGATCTTCTGCATTAGTGTAAACATGTTCTGAGCTGCCTTATCAAGATCAAATTATTTAGATAATTTGTCTTATCTTAATGGCTTTTTTAAATTAATGCTAATATGTGGCAGAGCAATATATTTTAAAAAGTTGTATGTGGGTTTAATAGTCTGAAGCAATTTTTAAGTTTTTATTGTAACTTTATTGCATTTGCATTGGTTCTTAATCATCTTTATTGTTCAGAGCTATGTTTTTTCCCAAACTAGCAAACACTGTGATGTAGTACTATTTCCCATATTGTACCAAGGCACTCTTCTAACATATATTTAAATACAGTTCTACATGTAAAATCCATTAAAGCGTTCTCCTTCACATTTTCCTATTATGAGATAGTTACTCTTAATCCAAACACCTCTACAGATTTCCTCCCTAAAGTCAGTCACTCCATCTTATTGAATAAAGCTTGTTCTGAGCTGGGGGAAATGTCAGGTTTTGCATTGCTACAGGTTTATGGATGTCCTAATTCTGTGGGTTTTACTGGTGCCTTGACATATTGTTGTAATGAAACAAAATATGCATTTGATTAATTTTTAAAGGCTTTTTTGATGCCCTCTGTGTACTTGTGTGTGCTATTTCAGTGTTCTTTTCCTTCTTAACTCCTCCTACAGGCAGCATCTGTGAAACCATTATTGTTTTCTTCACATAGAGAAATTGCTCCCATAGCCTTCAAAATTTGAAGAATCATTCAAGGGCAGAAAAAAGATAAATGACTGGCAGTTGTTTTTCAGTTATATTAATTTTATTAGTCATGCATTCTCCTGTGCTTTTTCAGAGCTCTGGGACTTCTTTCTCTTAGCAATTAGAGCTTTTGAACAAAGAAAACTTCTGCTTAGATGCAATGATGAATTTAATACCCCTGCCCACACTCCTCAGCTGAATCTGGGGACATTGTGGTGAGTTTTAATACCTGAAGCTTTGTCTGTGTGATTCTCTCTGCTTGGGGCACTTGATGCAAATTCATGTAAAACAGTGTAAGAAAAGAATAATCCCTCCCGCTGCCCCCCACGGCGCATTATTTCTGCATTCCCATCAGCTTATGGCTGTGCAGAAGGGCTCTTTCATACAGACACATTAAATAGTTAGAAATAATAATTTATTACAGTTTTCTGCAGCTGGTTCTTCCAGCCCCTGATCTCCCAGCACCCTCCCAAGGCAGTGTCCTCCCTGCTCAGTGAGGGCTGGGCTGGCCCCTGAGCAGCTTCCTCAGGACATCTCCCATGTCCATCAAGTCCTTCTTGCTGGTACCAAGAGATGGTGGCAATAACTAACCTATAATAATAATTAATAATTATTAATCCTAATAATCTAACAATAATTAATCCTAAAATGAGCACAGCCTCCATTTCCAAAGCAGAAGTCCCTGTTGGGGGTTGCTCTGTGAGGTTGTTGTCCTTTAAATTACTTACTTAAGCTTGTGAAATAAATGTAGGATTATTAAATCTCTGTATTGTCTCTATAGTTTGGGACAGTATTTTAATGAGAACCAAATAGTTGGAACCAAAATATTAATGAAAAAGCAGGTTTTGAGGTGTTTCCCAAAATTAAATAATTAAGGACAATTTTTGCTATTTACTGAAGTACTTTTTATGCAAAAAACTAGAATGCTAAAAACAGATATTTAAGACTTTTTAAACCTTTGGAGATTTTATTAACTTCTACTCTTTTTTATTAAAATATTATTCGTTTTTTCTGTGGGGGGTTTTGAATTTGTTTTTTTTTTTTTTTAAGATGTTGACTCTTGCACTCCCTCTTGTGAGAGGGAGACTGTTTAAAGAAACAGGAAATGTTTCTATTCTAATGTGAGCTATGGATTCCTGACTGTGTGAAAATAAATAATTTTCCTAAGTTAAAAAATTTTATAACAAATGGTATAGAGAGCTAACAATATTGGTGGAACCCAGGAGCTTCATAAAGTAGCAATTACCCTTTCACTTTTAGATATTTTGCCTTTTTCCCCTTGTATTTTGTGCTTTTAAAGTCTCACATATTAAGAAAACCTGTCAATGTTTTTAAGTGGTTCCTCAAAAAGACAAAGAGAAAAAAAGAACTTTATTCCTATTGTTAGAGTGTCAGTACCTGGAGAGCCTTTAATTTTTTCCTTTTTAAAGCTTTGAATTGTTCTGTTTGAAGTTCAAATTCAGGAATAAAACAAGAGTCAAAACTGAAAGTATGTTTCTATATAGCAAATTAATGGACTTAACCAGGAAAAAGCTGTGTTCAGCTCTAAAGCTTGTCACATAAAAGGAATTTTAACCTCTTTGGGGTTTCTTTTTTTTCGGTTTTCTTTCTTTTTTTTGACCCCCCCCCCGAAAGGCCATCTTTCCAACATTTCAGAACTACAGAACGTGTGTACCTTGATAGTTATGTGTGAAAATTTATAATAGGCACTTTGTGGGGTTGAGTGGAGTCCCATTGAAGCGAGCAGAGAGCTTGGCCTAGGCCTTAAATACACAATTACAATAATTTAAACTTCTAAGTCAAAATCCATATAAAGCGAATAAAAATTACTGCTGAGCCTTTGAATTTCAGCCTTCACTCTGTATGTATTAGTAGAAGGAAAATTACATCTGAAGTGGTCACCATGCAGATGTTGACCAGGAGTTTTGATTTTCTGGTAGAATCTGGTTCTTGTCTCTCTGATCAGCTCAAAGCCAGATGCAGTTAGCACTTGCTCACTTTTCAGTCATGCCCCAAAATCCCCAGGGTGAGCACATCCTTTAATCCACAAATCCAAGGGGGATTTTTCCAACACAGATTGATTTGTATATGCATATTTAGGTGTTAGAGAGAGAAGTAATGCTGTTGAGAGACTTCTGCAAGATTTAGAGAGAGAAAGAGTTGCTACAGATTATAATAAGGTGTAAAGGTTCCTCACTCCCTAAAATGGAGAAGCTGACATCTTAAATTGCATGTGCTCTAGTGATGTGGTCTGACTCAGAGAACTTGAAGGAAATAACAGCTGTGCACATCAAAGCTTAAAAATAGAAACTTCATCAGTCAGTAGCACTTCACAATGAATGAAGAAATCAGAAAATTATTAATGATAGTGTTTAGAGAAGGGAAAGATAAAGTTCAAACTTTGTGAAGGCAGAATGCTGTCAGCAGTGCTGCAGCACGTCTGGGCAGGGCAGCAGCCCCTTGTCCTGCTGATGGCATGATGATATAGGGCATATGGGAGGCTCCTGCCCTTCTGGAGTGGCAGCTGGATGCCCTGAGGCATCTCAGATGGCAGTGGATGCTTCAGTCTAAGGAGTGATTGCACATAAACATAAGTACAGACTCACATTCTCTCACATTTTTAATACATAGTCACCTGAAGTGGTTTCCTAGCAGGCTTTGCTGTAGGTTGTTGTAGAAATTAATGAGCAGTTTATCTAATTTTAAACTTAGTAAGAGTTCTGGGGTGAATAGAGCAGGTGTACAGCCTAAAATACAACAAGATATACAATTAAAAACTACCCTAGCATCAAAAGTTTTAGTTAAAAACTATTATTTAAAGTTGCAGTAGATGGTTGTTTTCCAAATGACCTCAAATTCATGAATTCATTCCAACATTTTCCTTTTAATATATTCATAGTTAAATATAACTTGAATGTTGTCCTAATTACATTCTCATGTTAATTTAGCTCTGATTCAGAATTTCTATCATAATTCTTTGTAGAATTGTTTTGAAATGATGGAAAGTTCAGAAAAGATGCTCCATTCTGTGATTGTGCCTTTGAATTATTTATCAAATTCAAAGACAGAAATATAGCTAAAATCTAGTTTGAGTTGTAAATGAGTTTTGTAAGGAGGAAGTGCAAGTCCTTTTTGCAGAATGCCACGGGTACAGCATCAGGTGCTGCAGGAGCACTGGTGGCCCCACGTGAGCAGAGAAGTTCATGGTAAATAAGAAACCTGCACTGCACCAGCTGGCAGCTGCTGTCTAAGCAGACAAGACAGATGATATGTGGAAGAGGAGAGACAAAGAGAGAAACAGAGAACTTGCAAAATAACAATGCAGGTTAGTGACAAAATTAAGAGAAAACCTGTCCTGTCCTGGTCAGAACCAGCCTCACTCCCTCTGTGATGCGCCCTGGAAACAAAAGCTTTCCCAAGAACTGTTTTGCTCACATTTCCCACAACTCATTGCAGTGGCAAACAGCACAGTGCCAACATCAGATTGTAGAAACCAGCATTAATGCAAAAACTTTGGTCGTGGTCCTGAGCTAGGTGGAGAACAAACAATTGCTGGTGAGGCGTGTGCAAGTCTGAGAGGGTGAGGTGCTGCTGGGGAAAATTCAAAGGAGAAAAGGAAACTTGTCTTAATGTAAGCAGCAGTTTTGCCAGAGGTAAGTGAGGGGAAATTCTTCATTTATAAATGGTTCATTGAGCCATGATAATAAAGCAGTGCTGCAGAAGAAGGATAATTATCTACTTAAGTATCAGATGCCCTAAGGGTACAAGATTCCCTTCTCTCCTTTGGAAAAATGAACTCAGATTAAACGAATGTCCTTTTTCCTGTTTTAGTGTTGACATGGATTTCTTTTTTATGAGTAAAATTAATTAGTTTTTCTATTCCTTTTTTCCTGGTATGGAAATCAGGTCTGCCAATCAACTTTGCAGCTCATCCCTTGAGCACCAAGTTTAGCCAATAGCACAGTTTATGGATGTGCTCTGTACAATGCACTAGGAAGGCACAAATTAATTACAAGGGGTTTACTATGCCTGGGAATTTACCAAGGGACAAAGCATTGCACAACTGAACCCCCACAAAACTAGGGGTTTTGTCTCCATCCAGGATTGTTTTTTTCTGAGTACCTGCTTTCTAAATATATTTTTCTCCTTTGTTAAATGTTTATAACATAAGCTACAATGAGCAAAAAGGAGAATAGTGGCATAGCTGATTCCGTACAAAAAACCCCTGAGAGACAGGGGTTTCAAAGCAGATTAGCACCCACAGCTGGAACCAGACTTCTCCTTTTCTCTTGGGAGCTGCTGCAGGTAGAGCTTGCTCAGTTCTGCTCCCACTATAGCAAATATCCATTACAGACTTGTCTGTTCTCATCTAGATTTAGACAAATGATCAAAACCTGCCACTACATCCTTACTTTGAGAAAATGTCTGGTTTTCTGTCCTATCAGAATGATAAGTGTGATTCTTATAATATAACCTTGGTGTATGCAAACATGTTATCTCTGTGCTTCTGGAAATAATTGATCTTTCACATGTATTAATCTCTCCTTATTTCAAATGTCTCACGTGGTCTTTGACAATCAGGTTGATGTAACCTTTTTTTGAACCTGTTAACTGCAGAACAGCTCCTAGTTACCTCTCCTGGATTATAGAGAATATTCCTGAACACCTGCAGGCTTCAAAATGCAGTAAAAATAAAGATGGCTGTAATACAATGGCATGAAACTTAATTTTCTTCAAATAGTCCTTAGAACACTTATTTTAATACTGGAAAAAATAATTTTCTTAGCCTTTGGTCATGAAAGTTCAAGTGGTGTTAAAGGTTACTTTAAGGTCTTCATTCTGCAAATTCTATTCTGTAAGTCAGCAAAGAATCCTGTCTGCAGGGAATTGAAATGAGAATCAAGTACTTGCTTGTTGGATCTACACAACCGAGGCTCCACTAAGAATTCTGGACCATATTAATAATGTTGCATAATTGATTTTCAAGTGAGGAATCATAGCAATTATTAATTACTGTGAATACAGCAGATCAGATGACTGTAAGCAGCATCTGTGTACTTTCATTATTTACTTTATAGCTTCGTTTCACTGGCTCTCAAATCATAGTCACCAAGGTAGAATTAAATCAAAGTATATTTACAGGGTTGTGAGCACTGTGCTTAAAAGGAAATAGTCATAATTATCTTAATGTATTTTTAAAACCACATTGTAGTTACAGCAGGTGAGCATTCTTTGTGAATTGTAAATAATATATAGAAATAAGTGATCAGCATAGTGCCAGCTTGTCATATTTATGTGCCTAAAATTAGAGGTGTAAGATGAAGATTTTCAAAAATATATACCACATACAGGGAAAAGCATTGTAAACTGCAGTCTCAGACAACACATCCAAAGCCCTCTTAAATTTCTTTGGCTTCCCCCATTGTTAATCACAAAAGAAAATATCTCTGACTTTCACAGGAGATAAATACCAGCATTTCTCTACTGAGACAGTAAATCTGAGTCTGTGAAAAATTTGCTTTCCCTTAAATGTCTCAGTATAGCACAAGAGCCTTAGTAATTTTTCCCATATCTGAGGGGTTTGAGGAAAAGAATTCTGAATAAAGCATGATAGAATTCCCTGTAATTAGCCCTATGATTTTGGCGCTCTTGCTGTTTCACCAGAGAGGAAGAGCTCAGGCGACTCACGGGTGAGCAGAACCAGGTACAGGCTGGGGATTGAGTGTTCTGGAGCACTCAGATTTGTGTTTGTGCCTTGACACTGCCACCTCCAGATGTCCTTGTTTGTCCCCTGCGGCCGGTGGAGCGTTTCCGTGACCTGCGTCCCGAGGAAGTGGCTGATCTGTTCCGTACGGCACAAAGGGTCGGGAACGTGGTGGAGAAACATTTCTGTGGCACTTCGCTCACCTTTTCCATCCAGGTTTGTAAAACAGTCAGCTAAGAAAGGTTTAATGGTTTGTTTTATCAAGATTTCACCCTTTTCCCCTTCTCCAATCACAAAAGGACATTGGAACTTCAAGGGGCAGTAAATGCAAAACAACATAATAACAACCAAGAAGCCAAATAACTGCATTGCAGTCTTCCAGATTTGCCATTGAGAAATCTAAAGAGGAAACCAGTGGGAAAGTGTGGTTAATTAATAGCTGCAAAACCTTGGATAAAGCCAGCAAACACTCTGAGATGCTGTGCTTGTTTGTGAATATTTCAGGAAATATTCTTCCTTCAAAGTGTTTGCAGAGTTGACCTCTCGAGAAGGCAGCCACAGCTCCTGTTCCACACATACCCCACTGCATATACTCGAGATAAGTGATCCCTCCTCACAGCTATTTATATGCAGGCAGAGAGCTGTAGCCATGTAAATACATTATAAATTCTGACCTTTCAGTTGTTTGTGCTGGGTGTTTTTATACCAAAAATGAACTCTGTTTAAAGCAAACCAGGAGACTAAGCCCATTCATTAAAATCAGAATTTAAGCAAGCATAGTTTGATTAAATTTTTACTTCCACGTGTGGTTTTATGTTCACAAGGATCAGAAATCTATTGCTAGCTATTGAAAAATATAATCTGAAAAAATGAAAAATAGAAACTGTTGTTTTTGTGATGTGAGATAGTTTCCCTCTTTTCTGGGGTCTGATATGGAAAGGAGCTTTATCCAAAAACTTAGTGTTGAATGGTCCTCAGGAAAAATATGCTAATTTAATAGGCAGTGTAATTGATGTAAATGATTATTAATATTTCTGAATTCCTGTGTGATCCTTGTTAGATCCTCTAACATGAGACTTTTCCCTTTGCTTACAGGATGGCCCTGAAGCTGGACAAACAGTGAAGGTGAGTGCTTATTATTCAGAATACAAATTAAGACACAATTATAAGAACTAATAGAAGATCAAAGCTCGTCATCTGCAGTGCATTGCTGTATTGTTACTTTATCCTTGAGATCAAAAAATCCCAGGTGTACAATAGCAGTAAATACTTTTTATTGAAATTGCACAAGATAATGTTTACACATTTTCTTCCTGGACAAAAATTTTCTAATCAAGAAAATATCTTTTCTAAGCTGCTGGGTGCATTTATGCAAGGAAAGCCTCATGAAAGAGGCATCTGGTTTAGGGTTTTTTTGTTTGTTTTATGGAGAAAATATTGCCCTTCCATTCATGATCTCTTTGTTTTTCTGTTTATTGCCTAATGAGTTGTAGCTAATTGTAGGAACAGTTAAACTGAACCACATTATGAAAATATACCTTTTGTCTATGCTTCCTCTCAGCGTATTCATATCACATTCTTGTTACTGAAGTTCAAATCTAATGGGCCCAGTGAAGCTAAAAAACAGATTTTAAGTGTACTTCCAAAAAAAAAGGTGGGAGGGTGGAAGCGAAGAGAAGGATTTATGATTATATTCTCCACTTGAGTAATAACACAGATAACATCCAAGATATCTCTCCAGCCATGTTTCACTGCCTCATAATGCAAATGCAATTGCATGTGTAGTTAGATGATATGCCTCAACATTAGATAAAGACTATTTCTTACATTTGGAATCAGAGGAAAGTCAAATATGGCTATGGGTTTGCACTTTGTAAAATAAAATTAGGTGTCTCAGAGAACCTGTTTGAGTTGATTAAGATAGCTGTAACAACCGAATGATGGTGGAGAGGAACATTTTACTTTTTTTTCAATTTGCTGAATTGACCTTATTTTTCCTTCTGCTTTTGCTGTCTGCTTTGAATATTTAACAGAGAGGTAATAGGGAGAGAGAAGAAGAAATTAGAATATCATCAAGCTTGGGATGTGATGAAGGAATGTAACATGATTTATTTCTGTACTGTGACAAAACAGATTCCTTGACTTTGAGTGCATTGGGTGGGTTTCAATGGCAGTGTCTGTTAATGGGTGAAATAATAAGTTAAAATACTTTTGAGGTAAATTTTGTTATTATCACCAGTATGATTTACAAAGAAAATATGAGGCTTTATTTTAATAACTTGGACAAGTGTTTTTCTCTTTGTTAAAAAAAGGTGTATAGGAATGGTTATACATGAGAAAAATTATTTATATGAGCAAGTAAAGGAAGATGTAAAAATTCCCATCTTCTATGATTGTGAACAGTAACAAAAGCTTATGTAGACCTTTAAAAGGCAGAAAGTTCTGTATTGCTTTGGGTTTGTACTGGAAATAAAGAGCATTAAGTGTTAATTGCAAAATGGCAGCCACCCTTCATGCCTCCTTCTCACACTTTTAATAAACACTGAGATGAAAATGACCCGTTCTTACAACTGTGAACCCTAGACTTTGCAATAATGAGTGTGTATTCAAAAATCAGAGGTTATCAGGTTACATTTCTCTACTTTTCTGTGTCATTGGGCAACACTGTAATTTATCATCATCACTTTGGGATGTTTATCATCCAAAAATGCCAACAACTATTTTCTTCAGAGAATTTAGAACTTTCAAAACTTCAATCAGGAAAGAAATTACTGTGATCAAGATCTTCTTTTAAGTGAACAATAGGGTGGATATATAAATAGCTGGTTTCATTTAAACTTTTCTGAATCACAAAGCTTGAAAAAACACCTATGTGACCCACAAATAATTTATGAACCTTAAATTCAATGTGTTGTGTTTCTGGATGTGGATTTATTTGGTTTTTTTCCTCTATGAGAATCCACAGTAATCCAGTCTCCTCTGAGGGAGTTTTTAATTAAAATTTCTGGAACAGACCAAACATTAGAAAAACATTCTAAAAGTAAAAATAGCAAAACATCACAATAAATATCCAAGGGAGTTTGTGGAGACTGTTTAAGTAGGGTAGGCAAGCATATCTCAAGAGCTAATTAGGTGTAGCTGATTTTGCTTTGAATGGGGTTACATACCAGATTGTTTCAAGAGTCTTTTGCAGTTGTATTTTGTATAAGTCTGTGTACCTGTGTAAATATAGGCTACTGTATGTGCTATGGAGGAGCAGAAATACAGGAAGCAGGAGAAGAGCATTGACTTTTCAATTGCTCAGTACAAAATTTTACTACAAAATGGGAAGAGCTATCAGCCTGGCTGAAGACAAAAACTGAGAAATGTAGTCTGAAAAAGATTAAGGAATTCTCTTTCTCTGTCCACAAGAAGAAATGCTAATCCATGTACAAGAAAAATCTTGAACTTGAAGATGGGTCTCCGGTGTTTCTTTGCAATGGAGATGCTGAAAATTTTATGTGCAATGTATGCAATAAGTTGGAAGATGACCCTTTGCGTGTGAATTTGGCTAGAAATCAGTGATAAGCTTGTCTGCCAGTATTACACGTCCCTTTTGGTGGTGTGAAAGCTGCTGCTGTTTGCATTTTGTGTTAAAGCCTTTCTAGTTACCTGATGGGAAGCTGTTCATGATCTAATTGTAGTTTCATTATTGCTGTACTCTGTTCCTCCTTTGCATCTAAGGTAGCAGAGCCTGCAGGTCAATGTTCTGGGGCAGCTTATGGCCCTTGCAAATTCCCTCTTTACTGTGGGTTTTCCCTGGATGGGTCCTTGGAAGTAATGATACCTGACCCTCAGTTCACCAATATTTGTAAGTATAGATGGGTCTTTCCCCTCCCTTTGGCAGCAGGAAATATACACATGGTAAGGAATTCTGAACCCTGTCCCAAGTATCAGACTGTAAAATAATGCCATATATTGTTTCATGATATTTTTCATTGCTTTCCACCTATTGTACCTATTCCAGCCCTTTCACCTGTTTATGAGAGAAACAATTGTCCTTCTCCAAGATGGTCATGGAATTGCACACTGTTTTATTGTGAGAGGTTCTTCAACCACTCACAACAGCGAAATTGAGCATCTCTGGCACCTGAACAGTGTGTCACCAAACAAAAACATCTTTTAGCATTCAAGAGATTTTGAATACTTATTTCTTATTATTTGAGAAAAGGAGGAAATTGTGTTTAGGTCCTCCCTTAAAGACTATTAATCTCTGCAATTTTGAGCTCTCTTGTTATCGGAGAACACAAAACCCATGGTGTCCTTGTGCCAAGAATGGAGGGTGAGTTTCATGCTGGTTCTGTTTGAGAATGCCTTAAATATCCAGGCAATTTCATGGATCAGGGAAATCAGCTCTGCATCTTAATGCAGGGCTCTTATTGCTATGTCAAGTGAGCGACGTTTCAAGATTTCCCTAGTATGTTTTATAGCCTTCTTTTCATCATCAAGTCAGCAAATGCTCTGGCTGCCTGGGTGGATGTATAGCTTAGTGTAGAATAAGCTCTCAGGTTTACCTTTTACGTGAGATTCAATCACAAGAAACTCCATGGATTCTGTACTCTGTAAAGGCTAAACAAATCAAGCTGGCAGGAGCATGAAGCAACTAATTTATCTGTAGAGACAAGATAATATTGCACAGCAAGTGTCCATTGCACAAACACGTATGAACACATCCTCTATTTTGCAGCAGGGTTGAAGTCTCCAGCAGCTCAGCACCTCCTCTGTTATCCATGAGAAAGGAAGGGCCTGTTTGCCAATTATAGGTTCCCCTAAATAAATGAAAAAGCAAAGCTGATGGTGGCAGTGTGGTTATGTGTGCAGAAACTTATTTTATATGCCACACATTCCACTAGTTATTTTACACTGAGAAGATTGTATCATTATTATTTTTTGATGTACATATTTTTCTTTTCCAGATGTTGTTAATGCTGTGTTAAATCAATCCACCTGGCTTGCATTCCCCAGAAATCTTAACCTGAGCTGTAGAGCCCAGGGCTCATTTAAGCCCACAGCAGCCTTTTCTTTCATCCTCTTTGTCTATTTATGTCTTGACCTGAAGTACTGGACTTGAGGTTTGAGTCTTTAAATTGAATCAGATCTCATTGCAGACTAATTGCATCGGAAGGATTAAATTCACTAACTGCAATGCTTTTGATGCCTCAGCCTTCTTTCCCTGCAGACCAACAGCCATGAGTCCTGGTTTAGTGAAGTACTAGAAACCCTCTTTTGCACTCTTAGAAGAACAAAGAAAAACTGGTGCTTGAGAAATGCAAAGATTTTTCTTACCTTTAAACAAATCTAAAAATTCAAATATGAAAAGACAAGGAAGCAACAAATTTCTGAAAACCAGATTGTACTGAAACATGTGAACAAATAATCTCCTGTGCTTTACCCTTAAAAATGATAATTCTCTTGGAAGCTTGTGAGACATCCAAAAATGATTTGAGGAAGTGCAGCAGTGTCTGAATTGCTCTGAGAACCACACTAATAGTATTTGGTTGGAGACTGTGTAATATTGTGGACAGGTAATTGGTACAGAAAATTCAGTAGTCTCAGGGCTGCTACGTCTGTTTTGAGCTCAAAATTTTCTTTCTATTTCAGCACTATATTTAGTTTAGGGTGGTTTGGGGTTAGTGATGTATATTTTCAAAGCTAGGATTATACTGCCCCTTACAGAGACAGAGAAGCAGCAGGAGCATCCAGATAGTTTCTCCTCCCTTTCCTTGAAGTCTTTTGACAGCTCTATGTTTTTTACTCACTCTAAATAATAATTCGTGCTTTTTCCTTCAGAGATTTTTTCAAAATCTGCCTTGTGTTGGTCTAAATCTCCTTTCAGTCCTTTGGTCAGACTTGTGTTTTCTATGATGCAAAATAAGTCCTAGTAAGTCTTTGCTTTGTCAGGTCCTTACTTCAGTTCCTAACATGTAACATTTAGTTTTTGACTGAACAATAAGCTTTCAAGAAAAAACATATTGCTGTTTTGTTTGCCAGGCTTATAGATTTAAGAGGCACTGGTAAATGTGTAAATCCTTCCCTGAAACAAATTATATTCAGGGTCTAGAATGGAAACAGTTCTTTTGACCCCC